TACAGTCTACGTATTTGCTCACGTACATTGGAAATTATCTTAATTAAGACCCCTTTGGGCTGGCTGGTTAGCTCAATTGGTAAGAGTGTGGTGCTGATAACACCAAGGTCCAGGGTTTGATCCCTATACAGGCCAGCTGCCAAAAATCTTCATTAAGACCCCTTTAATGCAAGTAATGAAAATCTATCTCCAACTAATTTAAATTTTAAAAAGAGAATTTTATTGTTTTACACACATAAAAAGTAACCAGGTAGACCCTAGCTTCGGGAACAGTTATATCCAGCTGCTGAAATTATGTCAAAGGAAACTGTCTCTCATCATCTCCTGACTCTGCTTTTCAATCATTCACGAAGCATCTATTGAGCACCTTACCTTGTGCCAGGCAGTTTGTTTTCTTCTCAGGCAGTAATAAAATTGGCCACTCGGGGCACCAGGCTTGCATCCTGCCAACCTAGCAACTGAAGGAGAAAGAAGTCTCAGGTCTGACCTTGGCCCGCATCTGCCTGTCCCTGAGCCAGTCACTGTGACTGGTTGACTAGGCTGCCTCATGCCTATCCTTGTTGCCTATCCTTGGTCCCCGTGGCACCACAAGGACTGGGAATAGAAGCGGCCTTTTCCAGAGGGAAATCAGATGGACTGGGCTGACAGCAGACGCCTGATATTGATATGGGTGAGCACTTCATCATGTGCTGGGCTCCACGGGCCCTAAGATGAGTCACAAATGCTGTAACACAGGTGGAATATGGCCGGTACCCTAGGAATGTACATTGTGTTGTGGATGTTTAGAAAGAGGGAGATTACTCCCAGCTCAGCCAGCCAAGGAAGGCCTTCCGAAAGGAGGCATTGGCCCTGGACATTGACAGCCACCAGGTACAGAAGCATCAGTTGTGTAAGGCCTTGAATGTCAGACTAAGGAGTTCATATTCTACACTTAACAGACTACAAAGAGACTATGCATTGACGTATGTGTTATGAGTGAATGTGGCCAGCTCAAAAGAGACTGCTGGGAAGGTCTGCAGGGCTGGCATTTCCTGTAAGCCTTGCCCATACCTATAGAGGGGTGTCCCAGCCCAGCTGGCAGCGGTCCGTATGGCTGAAGGCTGTGCACAGAGAGGCCGGGGAACTGCCAGGCCGGGGCAGCCATGCTTCCCTCATTATGGGCTTGTGCCTGCCCTGGACATAGCCACCCACCTTAACTAAGAATAGGAATTCCTGCCTGGCTGACAAGAATGAATGTCATTACTCAAGGAGGGATGGGCCTGAAAACAAAACAATAGCATACGGGTTGGGCCATACTTTGTGTTTATTTGCAAGGTCACTTGAGAGCCGCACCCACGTTGGGGCATTGATCCTGTCATTAGACCCAGACAAGGTGACTTGGCCAAGTTGTTCATAGAAGTCCAAGATGGCAGCCTCCAGGGCTCCTCATCCGCCGGAAAGGCCCTGGGCCCTCAGCCTTGGGCACCTCCTGCCCCCGAGAAGAGGTGACCGCTCCTCTCTTGTTTTCTTGACAGCAGGCACAGGTGGTGGCAGGTGGTGAGGGCTAAGTTGCTGGGAAGCCAAGAGAAAAGGGAATGAGAGGGTCCCTATGGCAGCTTTAGCCAGAATCACCTGATTCATGAGCTTCTCTCTTCCAGGCAAGATCCTCTTCCGGAGAAGCCACATCCGAGACGTGGCTGTGAAGAGGCTGAAGCCCATCGACGAGTACTGCCGGGTAAGGGGGTGCTGGGGGTGGGGGTGATCCATCTGACTGTGAGTCTGTCCCTCTGTGAAGGAAGACAGTCTGTACAAAACCCTCCTGGTGTTTCCTGGCCAGAGGGGTGGGTGTGGGTGGCCCTTGGAGAGGGGTCAACCTGGGCTGGGCCACCCTCTGGGGCCTAAGGGCCTCAGGTTCACAGCTAAGCCTCTGTTCCTTTTGGGACATGTCCATGTTTATAAAAACACTGTTTTAAATCACTTCCACTGGCTTGGGAGCTGAGTTAAGGAGGCTTCTGCTGAAGCGACTGTGTATATGGCATTTTGTTGGATATAGGAGAACAGTTTCTTTGAATTCCTCCTGGGATGTTGTTGGAATCAGGTGTAGGTTCAATAGCATCTGCAATATGCTTTGTTTATCACATAAATCTTGACAGATGCGAATGTTCACGTACTCATCTATAGATGCAAATGCTCACACACACACACACACACACACACACACACGCAACACACAACACACATTGAAATAGCCAATGCCAAATTGCAGACAGGAGAGTGACAGCAATGTCGTGATCCTGGGCACATTTGTCTTTCTGCTTTGGTTAGGGCCTAGGACCCCTTCCGTGAGGAAGTGTCCTTGACACGTGGCCTTTGGACGGCTAGACTGCCTGGGTTTGAACCTCTGACTAGCTTCATGAACTTGGGCAAGTTACTTCACTTCTCTGAGCCTCAGTTTCCACATCTGTATGATAGGGAGGAGACTAGTTACCTCCGCAGAGGGTGGTCGTGAGGATGGAATGAACAGCCACACGTAGGCAGCAGCACAGTGTCTGGCTCAGAGGAAGTGTTCAGTAGATGCTTTTTGTTATGATTACAAGGGCAAATAATTTGTATTAAATAAACAGCAAATAAAAAAGCTTTATTAAAAGCAAATAAAAAATAATAACAACCAAATAAATGGAAAAGCAAACATTAAATAATTGGGTGTTACTACAGGGCACCACTTGCTTTAATAGAGATAGAATTTCTTTTTTTTTTTT